CCCCCCCCCCGCGGTTCGACTCCCCCCTGCGCGCGGTGAGCGGGACCACCAAGCAGCTGCAGCACACCAAGCATCTGCAGCGCCCAGCGCAGCAGCGGCAGCAGCAGCAGCACCAGCAGCAGCAGCAGACCACCCAGCGGCGGCAGCAGCAGCAGCATACCCAACGCCGCGGCAGCAGCAGCCGCAGCAGACCACCCAGCGCCAGCAGCAGCAGCAGCTGCAGACGACCCGGCGCCTGCAGAGCACAGCGCAGCAGCGCCCAGCGCAGCAGCGGCAGCAGCAGCACCAGCAGCAGCAGCACCAGCAGCAGACCACCGGAAGCCCGGCTAGCTTTCGTTCACCCCCTCTGGCCTCAAGTTAAATATGAGCTGAAACCACCAAGAAAAGTCCTATGGAGTGTGCGAGGACTAGCAGCGACTTAGCCCAATCTTTTGACTTTGGGCGACCTAAAAGTGTCGTGGAGAAATGATGAGACATGTTTTGTCTTTTTTTCAGAGAAATGTTTGAGGAGGGGTAACTTGTTTGGATTCAGCTTTGATCCTTTGTTTCATGTTAGCTCCAAATGAATGAATTGATCTATAAAAAACTACGGATCATTGATGTGGTGAAGACTCGAATCATTGATTCCTTTGATGATTTCATGTACTATTTCCCAGACATTGCATGGATGGAATATGTACATTGGCCTGCCAACGCCCCTCAAACTAGAACAAATCTATGGTTTGGGTCGGCTCTGGGTCCTGGGTGGTTCAGAATTGGAAAAGAGGTGGAAGGGGATGGACTCTATCTCCGCGCTGACCATCCCCTGGGCAGCCAGTCCCATCGAGTGTTCTGGCTGGATGGCGGAATCCGAGATCACCACCCAACTCCATGGGAACATAGGGCTTGTGTGCTTTTGTGTGATTATGCTTGATGCAGACATGGGTGTCGCAGCTTTATTGTTGTTTAAAGGGCGCTTCAAACACAGTGCGAAACTTGATGGTTCCTGTTGTTTTTCCTTGTGGCGTCGTGGGGTAACCTCAGTTTTGTTTGATGCCGCAATTGGTATTGAGAAGGCCTTCAAAGAGCTTGCAAGCATATATCTTCACTTCTACCGAACAAAACGAAGTGATTGGCTCCGATGTTGATTCCATCTGGGAGGTTAGCTGATAAGCAGCAAAACATCGCAAAACACCAACCGCCGCCTGACGTTCCTGCACCTGACGTTCGACCACCCAGGGCAGTTGACACCTGAGCCGAAAGGCAGTCGGAGCTCGAGTCGACGTTCCAGTCGTTCAAGTCGGAAGATCTCCAAGGTTAAGCCCTTGGAAGGTCAGACTTCGGCTTCGCACTAACCCTGTCCGGGTGGAGATGACATGTGTGTGTCACTATACATGATGGTCGATGGAACATACACCAGCACAGGAGTATTCAAAGAATTGTGAAAATGTAGTTCACAGGTTTTCTTTTCGACTGCCTACCGGGAGGTTAGGCAACAACTCGTTCCTGAGCGCAGTGCTTGGCGCACGGGATGCGGTCCAATGTGACTTAAGAGTGTGGATTTTCAAGGAACTGAGTTCCCGATCTTTTGATCCGCTCAAAGGCTTCAGGGACTTTGGGATATCCCAACCAGACCCAATCACGCAGATATCTTATCTCCATTCACTTCCACTAAGTCAGGACTTTTGGAAAATCCTGAAACATCTCGGCTCGTGTTTTGCCGAACATGTTGAAGAGAAGCTAAACAACTATAAAAACGGTTCGGAATCAAAGACGCAACTGAGGGTTGGAGATGCTAGTTGCTACTGTTGATGGAAGAAATCCTAGTACACGTACAGCACCAACTGCTCAAATGTCACAGTATTTGCGGGGCTTTAGCCGTGCCAAATGGTACAGGGAACATTCATCCAGCAAGACTCAGCAAGCGTCTTACCGGTTCCTTCTGTGCTAAATACATTACACCACGATGTGTATGAAGGTGCGACATACATTTTGTTGAGATATGTGTTATTTTTGTGTTGTTTCGTCGGGAAACTGTCTAATGACCAATGGGTTGTGGTCGAACTGGTCCTTCCCCAGGTCGAACTGGAAGGTCTCCCGTTCATCGAATACAGTTTTCATATGACGAGGATGTCCCTGCAACCGGCTGTGTGGATCCTTTGCCTAGGGAGGACGGGTTTGATAGGCTGGAACCCCCCGTCCAAACCATCCATCTGAGCCCGCACTTGCACTCCGGAAGGGACTGTTGTTCAATCGAGGTGGTCAACACAGCCAGCGTATCGTGTTGGAGGTTCATACCTACTATCCAAAGTCCATATCCGGGAAGAGAACGGTGCGATCCTTCGTATCCGAGGCGATCATTTTTAGATCTAGGCGCTCATGGCCTGAGTGGACAAAGCCCCACCGTACGGGGCCAGGCCTCAAGTCAAGTGGATCAGTCCATGAAGCCTTTTCGCAGCACAGTTTTGCTTGCGGTTGCCGCACCCACTTCGAACGCGGTGATGGGCACCACAAGATTTACGAGACCCAAGGATCACGACATGGGCTGCAGCTTGTTGAACAGCGACTGAGCGCGCCACATGTTGGTTCTCTTGAACGTCTCAACAGGATGTGCTCAAGACAGCTGTTTGGAAAAAATAATCGAGAAAACTTGAACATCACTAAAAAACGGTGTTCCAGGAGCATCTTGTGCACCATCCACCTTCTTTTCCATGGCCATCTAGATCGTTGGCACATGTGATCGGCCTGCCTCGACGGCAGCATGTCTAGGAAGCGGGGCAGTATTTGGTAACCGTTGGTGTTTTTTCATGTCTTTTCCATGAAAACAGCACCGGATCCCCAGGTTTCGCGTACGTGGATCACCTGCAGGTCACTGGTCACGGACATTGTTGGCGATGGAAAAGACGAGGTTTCCCGACGAAACAAGAACAGGTCGACAAAAACGGGTAACCTCGGACAGGTGACTCAACAAGAACAGGTGACTTCCGCGGGTAACGTCTCTGTTTCGGGTAGATCGAGCATCGAGTCGCATCGAGGAAGCTGTTTGGGTTGTTCGTTCTCGACCGATCGACTCCTCAAGAGCGGACCGATTCTAAGACAAAGACGGAAGATCAAGCACCCAATGGCTGGTCCATGTGGATCAATATGACCAAAACACAGATACTCCATGATACTCCATATGTTCTTTGCAAGGAGCGTTTGGGTGGTGGCTTTGATGTTGCGGGATGGTTTCAACCCCAGAGGATGTTCTATGATTTTCTGCACAGATGAGAGATCTCAAGACAACACCGCACTGATCATGGGCCGCGCATACTCTATCTTAGGCATCACTAGAACATGGACCGAACTTGGCAATGAAAGTGGATTCAATTGCATCACATATTTGTTTTGCAAGATTCCCTCATGTTGAAAGATCAATTGAGGTATGACGTGAAGGGTCCATTTACCCAGAAACATCCTGCATCAACACAATTCATGTAGGACAAATATCAACATATATATATATATATCCGCTCACGTCTCACCACACTCTCGAACCATGTGGATACATGTTTTGCCGAAAGGAACCTATTTGGGTAGCGTTGGTGTAGGTGTTGGATAAGAGATGATAAGAGGACTTCAGTGTGTTGCTGTGTTGCTCATGTTTTCTGACTCACCATGATTGAAAGACAAACACACGTTTTGAGTTCGAAGCACTTGTTGGATGATGTTGGATGTTGCAAACAAAAACAGATTGCTTAGACAAGAACAACCATGCATGATGTGTATATATATATCTACCTTTTCCTGCTTTTCAGCTCTTCTACCTTTTCCTGCAGTCCTGCATTTCGGCTCTTCCACTTTTCATACTTCTCAGCTCTTCTACCTTGCAGGATTCCTGCTTGTCAGCTGCTTTGCTGTACTGGGCTACCCCCTGTGTGGAATAGATGTTTGCAATACGTTGACAAGATTTCAAAGGAATCAACTGAAGAGCTTAAAGCAAAATCAAAGGACACCAAAAGGAATTCAGAGGATATCAATCAAAACAAAAGGACATCAACAGGTGATCAATAATATCAACAAGGACATGTCAAAAAGGTGAATTCACACATAAAGATAAAGACAAATGAACAGTGCAGACATGATTGCAGGTGATGTTTTTATGAAATCCAAACAGGGCAGACACTATTGTAGGGGGTAAAGATATAGTATTTAGATCTCTAGTGTAATGGGCGAACCCCTTGTGGAATAGATGTTTGCAATAGTTTGATATATCTTAATGATAAGGGTTCAACCAAGAAAATCACAAAAGAACTTAAAAGGTAATCAACAAACATAAAAAAGAGACGATTTAAAATGGAATCAACGGAAACCAACAGTAATTTAATAGGTAATGAATAAGAAAGCACAAGGAGTTTTCAAGAAGATAATTCACAAATAAAAGTAATGAAAACTGAACATAATAGACATCATCGCCGGGAATTGTTTTTGAATCATTATACCAGAGCAATGTGCGCATAATATTTGAGAGGGTAATATCATTGAACAAGCAAACAATCGTAGACATTAATCCAGTGGGTGTTAATATTAAAGTGAAAAGGGACAGACATTTATGTAGAGGGTTTATTGTTCAAGATTTCTAGTGTACTGGTACTGGGCTGACCCCTTTGTGGAATAGCTTTTTACTATCTTTCCCCAAACAGTGAGGTCACACTGAGGAGTTCTTACGGTTGGAGCTAAGGGCCGGTGTCGCCGGTGTCTAATCGAGGTGTCGCGCGGTTGGGTCCGGCTAGTTCGTTGCTATTTACAGTGCACTCATGCCTCTCGAAATAATCGATTAAGTGCATTTCGACTGCGCAGGCTCGCAAAGTCTGTCTGCTTGGCCGCGGCGGGTGCTTGTCGCAACTGCGCTCTCGTTGTGGTGCCGTGCACATTTTTGGACATGGTCTTTTCCTGGGCGCGAGGGAAGCCTCGTGCTTTGGTGGTCCAAAGTCGATTTTTCGTGATGTTACTTCGAAGTGCAGCTTTCGTGGCAGGTGCAGCGCTTTGTAAACCTCGAAGTGCAGATTTCATGGCAGGCGCAGCACTTTGTGAACCTCGAAGTATTTCGTGGCAGGCGCAGCGCTTTGTGAATCTTGA